GGAAAGAAGGGAATGGCTTCACCTTGAAGATGAGGCCACCAACAGGGGACAAACCCACCATCCAGATCTGGAAGAGGCTCCCAAGTTGCAAACTCCGGCTCCTACGACGAGCAAGCCCAAGAACATAGAACCAAGATCTGAAAGAAGAGCCATAGCTCGACTGGAAGGGAGAAAACTGAAAGCCAGAATGGCTGAAAATTCGATTGAAAACTGTCTAAGACACAAGCACGAGCACTAAAGCAAGATAAGGAAACAATAGCAGAAAAGTAAAAAGTTTTGGGCTACCGCCGGTCACCTAAAAGGAGCCGGCGGCAGCCCCCGGAATCAGAAAAGGAAAGCTGGAAGAGGAGAGAAGGCAGAGCAAATTTCAAAAAGCAAAGGTCTAACAGTTGCTGGCAGCTCCAATCGCTTTACGACTCCTTAGTTGTTGGGTCGTGAATCAGACGAATTTCATGTGTGCAAGATGAAATTAAGTTTCTAACTCTTTAAAAGAACAAGTAACAAAATCACTATTTCATAGAGTCGAATTACAAGGGGTGAAGTAGTTTTTGAGCCATTAAGTTTCAATTAATTAATTAATTATGACAATTAAGCCCAATTGGACTCAAGTCAATTAGTATTCGACCAGGTTAAAGCAAGTTTTACATGTGTCGGGCTGGGTTGTAACATAATACTCTTTACTCACTTTTGCAATTGACGGGTTGGGTCGGGTGCAAATTTATTTTCTTTAGTGACAATTGAACCTAATTTGAACCGATCAAAGCGAGTCGAACTATTGTTGATGAATTTTGGGTTGGGAACGGATTTTACCCGCTTTTGTAATTGACGGATTGGGTCGGGTGTGGATTTTGTTAAAACTCGCCCCAATTTATCAACAGTGTTGACGAATTGCTTGATCTCCCATGGCTGATCAAGCTTCGGGAAGAGGCCAGAGAAAACTAGTCTCTGATACCACCTGACGCAGTCGGAAACCAACCGAACTCGCTAGCGTCGAATCCTCAAGAATAGTAACAAGCCTGTCAGCTGCAAGCTTTGCGAATATCACCTTCGGAATCAACCAGAGAACACAAACCCTTAGGTTTATTTGATTAAAGCCAAAAGAATGAGTCTCTTAACATAACAAAGGGTTTAAATACTACTTGTGTTAACCGAGTCCTTATAGGAAAATCCAAATTTTACAAAAACAAAAATAAAACAAAAACAAAAATAAATAATAAAGTCTCTCAAACGATGTCGTAAGGCATGCTTCCAGGTAGCCGTCATTAATGGCAAGGCTTCCTCTGCATCATATCCACAAGATACCTTCACCATTTTCCATTGGTCAACCTATATCCAGGGGGACTAGTTACAAAGAGAAAGTGCTATTGTTAACTAAAGTCTAATTGACTAAGAGCATCTACATTGGTATTGCATTATCAATTGCAAGATGACATGGCATGGTTGTTTGCAATTGCAAAAACAATTGTATTGATGTGGCTACCAATTGCATATTTACAAGCTTGCAACAAATACAATTGTTTATGCAAGTAAAAAAAGCCCAAAATGCAGATTTTTTATTCTATATTATATTATTTTTTATTTTACTATATTTTCTATTATTTAAATATAATGTTTAATTGCATTGATGTAGATGAATGAAAGTGATTTAAAGTGGATTGTAAAAAAAATTGAGTTGACAATAAAGAGCATAAATGCAATTGCTCTAATGAATAATTGAACTAACTAATCACAACACGACAAGTGTCATTCAATGAATGCTAATTATGCTTTGTTAACTATTTCTGTAAACGGCGTCGTGTCGGGTGAAAGGAAGCCCGACCCGGCCAATACAACAACGACTAGGAATGTTAATGGGGCATGTCCGGGGCGGGTTTCTTGGTACTCACACCCGCCTCGTGGCAGGTCGGGTAAGTTATCACGGGTCGCGGATCGGGGCAGGTCAACCCAATGAGTATGCAATTTATATGGAAAATATTAGAAATATTCGTTATTTTTATTATAAGACCAAGAAAACAAACAATATTATGATAAATATAGTTAAATTATTAGAGAAATTGAGGTTTTCACTAATTTACAACTTTATTATAGCTAAATTATGATGTAATAAAAGAAAAATTCTAAGTAATTTGACTAAGATTACATGTAATTTAGGCAAGAACGGGTCGAGAATGGGGCGGGTCAGGGAAGGTCGGGTCGATGAGTGTACCCATGCCTGCCCCGCCCGGCCTACGGGGCGGGTCGGACTTGCCCCAAAACAAGCCAAACAGGTCGGGTAAAACGGGCCAGGTCGAAATTGTCATCCCTAGCAACGACACATTTCTTCTTCCTTGCACAACAAAATGCAGAGTGCAGGTTGTTCAGGTAAGATCGTGATTAGTGGCGGATCCAAGGGGTGACCACCCCGGGCCACGACCCAACCCTCCTCTGGATCCGGAGCTAGTATAGCCCTTATGAGTATATCGATTTTAGCCATTCGGCCCAGTGTTATTTTATAATAAGATTGTGTGTAATTAGGAAAATGGATAAGATGAACATATTCACATCACAACTCTAAATTTAGCCCTAAAATTTTAACTCAATGATTCTCATCTAAAGAAACAAACAATGAAACCTAAAATTCTAAAACGTAAAAGACTAAAAGAAGTATGAGTTTATTCCCTTAAGAAATTACTAGAGCAGCTGGTAAAAATAGGAATTGCACAATATATGTTGATTAATCGATTGATTTGTCCAGTGTTGACATTGCTCGTTCCAACAACTACTATGAAGAGAACCTTTTCAACAATGAAATAGGTGAAAAAAAATATTTGCGCAACAAAATGAGCGATGAATTTCTCTCCAATTGGTTAACTATTTTATCCTAAAGAGAGTATGCTATTGGTATGAATGTAATCTCCATTATTGATTAATTCACTATATTAAAATTTAAAAAATCGACGTGTACAATTGATATGGTTAAAAAAACTATGATTTTTTTACTGTATCAAATTTTCTAATAAAATGCGACCCAGCGCTTTATTGTGTACTGGATCCGCCGCTGATAATTTCTATAACTCTGCTTCATACCCCTCTTAGGCTAGCTCCAACCCATGGTGTCAAATTGCTATAAAGTCATATTTGGCCATATTTGGCTTTACATCGAAAAATTTGTATTCAAAACTAATAACGAGCTATGAAAAAATTAAAGTGAAATATAAAAATTAGAGGTCAAATAAGTATGGTTTATTGAAATAAATTGAAAAAGGGAAATGGGAAGCTAAATTTAGCTTTTTATAGGGTTGGAGTGAAAAGTGGGTTTGGGGAGCTAAAAAGCCATATTTGGCCATTTAGGGAGCTAAATTCCCCTTTATGGGTTGGAGTTAGTCTTATGAATCCATGCTTAATTATTACCAACTATTCCTCATTCTGCACCCAAAGCAACACCACCAAAATCATGACAAAAATATTCCCTTCCATCCTGCCTTGTTCCGACGGGAGACAACACAAGACAGAGTGAACCATATATGAGTAACGAGTATCCCTTTATCCAACAGTCCCAGCAGCAGGTTTCCCAGAATCCGTTGCTTTTTTTTTTGTCCGTATACTTCCTTTTCATCCTTTAGCTTTGTGAAGAAAAGGTAGGCGCACTTTGTGTCTGAGTCCTTGTGCATGTTAGAATTTAGATCTTTTGCTGCGACCAAGCTGATGAAAGCTCTGCTTCGGTGGAGAAAGTCGATCAACTTTTCCCCTGTTTTTCATGTATTAACTAGTGCCGAAGGCTCGCGGGTTGGTGGGTTACTACCACGAAAAAAGGAAGAGAAAACCCAACCTCTCTCTCTCTCTAGCGCGCTTCTGGCTTAGCTCCCAAGCTTGAATTCAAAATGATATTGCTTGTCCCCCACTGGGCTAATTACTTTCCAACCAAAAACATTTCAATTATGTTGAGAGGAGCCTTGCGAAAATGTGACAGTTGGAACTTGGAACTAATAATATTTTTTTTTTCCGGTTGAAGCTTAATTATTACGATGCTGAGCATTCATAAGTAATATGATCCAAAATTTGAAACCATTGTAGCAGAATATTCATTTTACAAGGTTAAGGAATACAAATCGAAATATATTAGTATGATGAACGTATTTTACACATCGACAAACATTATGTATGCATCTCGTTGAGAGCTTACAAAGTCACATAACGATAGCAATTTTCCCCCCTCGCGATGTTGCAAACGTCTTGTAAGTTTCAATGAAAATTTTGAATACCTCATCATCATTTGAGAAACTGAGAAAATATCATAGCTATCCAACTTTAATGGTGGTTGTGGGAAATAATAATAATAATAATAATAATAATAATAATAATAATAATAATAATAATAATAATAATAATAATGCCAATTTGCGGAAGGAGCAGTCGATAACAATAAGAGATGCAATAATAAGAGTGTTGGAGGGGCAGGCAAATTCAATTGTGGAGCCTTATTATCACATGATTTGTCTGAGTGGGAAGAAATATTCTATTGTTAATTACTCTGCTTCAAGTAACAAAACGACATGGATATATAATGCTGTAACTAATCGTAACATATTGATCCGGGTTGAATCGTCAAACCCTAATTTCTAATGATAATTCGATGTTTAATTACTAGTATATAATAAAATAAACGTGAAATTGATTCATTGTAATGAATATGTATAACACGTTCTTATTGCGTTAAATCTCTCTATTGTTGTCGCGGGGTAATCTAAATTTCAAGTAAAGTTTCTTAAAAAATGTTTATAAAGAGTACCAAAAAAAAGAAAACTTGAATGAATGAATTGAGATGGGAGAAAGGTGTGAAAGTGAGAAGTGAGAACACCACCACAAAACAGAGTGAAACATCAATACACGGCTAGCAGGCAGCTAGCTCCAGCAGCCTTTTTCATTATTTTCTTTTGTTTTGTGGATTATTATGGGGGCATTGGGGTTGGGGGGTGGCCAATGCGCATAAAAAAGGGGAAGCACTCTGCACTCTGCACTCTGTAATCACGCTGGTTAGCTTTTTCTCCTCCTGATAGAAAGATAATCATCCACGCGTGAAAACTGAAACCTCTCCTCTGCTCCATTACCCAAGAAGAAGAAACACACCCTTCCTCTTCTTCTTCTTCTTCGGCCTTCCCGCTTCTCACTTCCCCTGTTCCCCAACTTCACGTTCGTCTCTGCCGTTTCGACTGCTTCCCATCCGGCCGCCATGTCTGTAAGTAGCTAGCTAGCTCTATCGCTCCACTTTCCGCTTCTTCTTCTCCTCTCGTTTCAGCTCTCTCCCTCTCTCTCTGTTTCTACGGTTTAGAGGGAGGGTTGCTTTTTGATGAAGAACTAATGTTTGAAAATGGTGGCCTAATGGGGGTTTGTACGTTTGTGTGTATAATTTGTTGCTGGTGGTGCAGATGGTGGAGGTTAGAGTTCCCAACCTCGACTGCGAAGGCTGCGCTTCCAAGCTCAGGAAAGCTCTGCTCAAGCTCAAAGGTAATCCAATCCCCTCTGTAGTTCCTTATTTTGGTCCACCACCACATAACGGTTCTTTCCTCCTGCTGATATACTGTGTGTGTGGGAGTGAATCCATATATAGATTAGATTCAATCAGATTTAGACTGTATACTGATAGAGTTCCTAATCAAATTGATCTCGATTGAACCATTTTAATTTTTTTTATTACCGTACTTCCATATTTGATTGATAATTCTTAACGATGTAACATCGTTCATAGTTCCCTGTTATAAAAAAACCGAGCCAGATCAATGGTTGGACCAGTAGAATCGTCATGCCAATTACAATAGTATTATGATTAGTTTTCTTGAAAGGGTAGGGACGGATTGAATTGATTTTTAACGGTCTCACATGAAATCAAATGATACACCCTAATTCAAGAGATTCATTGCTTTAACCACAAAAAATTACAGAAAAAATATTTTAATGTAATCTAAAACTGTCCAAATTACTAATTTTGTTTCTGTTTTCTCTTCTTCATTTTCCAATCTCAACAACTTTACGCGGTCCTCTAGCGTTTTTCACTGTAATTACTAACTTTTTTTTTTAAATTATGATTTCTTTTGCGAAAGACTCTTTGAATGATTTGTTAAAAGCTTTGGTGATGAAGCATATGGATTTGAAATTGTTTATGAAAAGTGGTAAGTTTAATACTAAATTAATGCATTATATATGTTTTTTATGTTATTGATTATAATACATGAATTATTCGATCAATAATCACCCAAAAATTTTATAACAGTTAATCGATAAACTATAAACCATTAACTTTTCCAATTTCGTGGTTCATTTCTAAAAAAATATTTTCAAACTTTGGAAAATTACATTGAACTAGTCTCTAACTATATCGGATTGGTACCAAAGTTGTCACTCTTGATACTCCATTTAGTTTTGCTACATAACTAATTTTGACAACAAAAGGAAAGGAATGTCCTTTTTGTCTTTCTTTCCATCGTCATTTTTTATCAATGGACTCGGCCCAACTAGCGGGTCTTGCTCGCTCGTCACCTGCCATGGGCCCTGGCCCATATGTGAAATCAGAATATTGAACACGGGACACTGTTATTGGCAAACAAAAAAAAAAAAGAACACGGGACACTGTTTTATTTTGCTTCGTCATTTCTCCTTGACAGGCGTAGAGGAAGTAGAAGTGGAAATGGAGAATCAGAAGGTGACGGTGAGAGGATATTCGTTGGAGGAGAAGAAGGTTCTGAAGGCAATCAAACGCGCCGGCAAAGCAGCGGAACCTTGGCCGTTCCCGGGATACGCGCACTTCTCGTCGTTCTACAAGTACCCGACCTACATCGTCAACCATTACTACGACCCTTACAAGAACGTCGGCAGCAACAGCAGCGTCCACACTTTCTTCCAGACTCCGGCGGTCTACTCCGTCGCGGTAGCCTCCGACGAGGCCGTCGCCTCGCTCTTCAGCGACGACAATCCCCATGCCTGCTCCATCATGTGACACGCTGAAAAGCTTTGCCAGAAATTCCTTTCTTGTTTCCCCTCCATCTCTATTCGTTGTAACCGTTACGATTTTTGTATCGTATCATTCGTTTGTCTCAATGTTGGTGCGATTCCGGTATTCGGACCTAATTATTTTATGTTTGTTATTGAAAAAAATTGTTTTTGTGGCAGGAGCAGAGAAGTTAAAGATTGAATGAACTATGTGATATCAAATTAGGTGCTAGAGGCTTTTCGTGTCCATTTATGTTTAGGAAATGTTAGAAGTTATAGTAGCAAAATGCAATTAGTCTGACTTAATGTTTAATTACGTACGCAATCCTAGTAGGGTTAAGGAGGCTGAGTATATATGTAGAATAGCCTCCATCGTTGTAACCAAACTATCTTCGACCATATCTCGATACGATAGACTCTGAGAGGTTGGTCCTCTCCGTGGATTAGTCTCAAACATATTCGTTGAGGATACCACGTAAATCTGGTGTTGTTCTTTCTTCTTGATTATTTCGTTTAACATGGTATCAGAGCCTCGAGCTTGATCGTGTGGATTTCAGTTACGTTCAGTTCGGCTGTTGTGGGGTTTGGCGCCTGTCTTCTTGGTGTTCGCAGGCTTTCTTATTGTCTTCGGTTTTGGTCTTCAGCGACGCTGGTCTCGGGTCATTCAGGTTATTTGGCTTTCTTGTTTAAGCGTCGTTGGTCTCGGCAGTCCAGGTTATTTTACTTTCTTGTTTGGGTCTCCCTTGATTGTCCACCTCTTCGTTTGTGCCGTTTGTGTTGTGGTTGTTCTTGTTATCATGGAAGCTTTGAAGATGGACATTGTCTCAGTTCGTTTCAATGGCCGGAAATTTGCCCTTTGGGAGTTCCACTTCAGGCTATTTGTTCAGGGTCGTCGCCTTCTCCCCATCCTCGACGGGACGCTTGCTGCTCCTGATGCGACGGCGCTACAAAAGGATCGAGATGATTGGGATACTAATAAAGCCCAGGTTATGGTTTGGATCTTATCCTCCGTTGATCCTTCCATTGCACTAAGCTTACGTAGCTTCACTACCACCCATGCTATGTGGCGTCACCTCAATAGCTTGCACTCCCAGTCCAGCGCATCTCGTAAATTTGAATTGGAGTTTGATGTTGCGAAATTGGCTCAGGGTGATCGTGATGTTCGAGCCTATTATCAAAAGGCTGTCACGCTATGGACTGAACTTGATTTGTTGACGACCTCGCTCGTCTCCGCAGAAGCTTCGGCCGAGCTTCAACAGGAGCGTACTAGCTCCTGTATGATGCACTTTTTAATGAAACTTCGGCCTGAATTTGAAGGTGTTCGATTGTCGCTCCTTCATCGTAATGTCACCAAGCTTGAGGATATCTTGGGAGAGCTAATTCGGGAGGAGACTAGAATGCGGAGTCAAGCTAAGATTGACCTTCATGGTGCGGATTCTTCAGCTGGTGTGTTCTCTATTGGAGGCCGCATCCCCGACCAGTCTTCAGCTCATGATCACTCGGCCTTTGCTGTTGGTTCTCACAAACCACGGTTTCTTCGTACTGCAAGTGGTCAGGTGATATGTTATCATTGTAAGGAGCCCGGTCATGTCCAACTCCATTGCCCCAAGCGCAATGTGTGTAATTATTGCAAAGAAGTCGGCCACAAAATTGCTGCTTGTCCCATTCTTGCCCGAAAGGGTCGTGCTCGGGCTGGGTCCTCGACTCGTGGGGCGCCGGGCGGGCCAGCATATGCGGCAACTGCTGTCTCGTCTCTTGTGCCAACTGGTTTTACTTCAGATAGCATTCGTCAGATGGTTCAGGAGATGGTTCATGAGGCTCTTCCTTCTGCGTTAGGTTTGGTGTTTACAATTGGTATGCCTTCTCGTTCTTCCTCCGTTTGGCATCTCGATTATGCTTCTTTTAACCATATGACTAGCTCTCGTTCATCTTTTCGTCATCTTCACTCTGCTAGTTCTACTCAATTACAGGTTGCTAATGGGACATGTATTCCTGCCCAAGGTATTGGGGTGGTTGATCAGCCTGGGTTATGTCTTCCGAATACCCTTTATGTGCCCCGGCTTGTCCCTAATCTCGTCTCGGTCGGTCAACTAGTGAAAGATGGGTGTTGTGTCACATTTGATGCAAATGGTTGTGTTGTGCAGGACAAGAGAACGGGGAAGGAACTGGGCCACGAGACTAAAGTAGGTCGGGTTTACCAGCTGAAGCGCTTGGATGATGTGGATGAGAAGCTGTCCTCAGGGGTGCGTAAAAGTGGAGCTAGCCTGGTGGTGGATGGTTCGCATTCGCTCTCGTCCTGGCGTCCAGATGTTGGATTTTTAGTTCATTTATCAAATTGGGATTTATGGCATCGACGATTGGGACATCCCCACTCGGCTCGATTGCTAGAGATGTTTAAGAATAAACTTTTGTCGGGTACATTTGTTTCAAATTCTTCTAGTCCATGTACTCATATTTTGGAAGCTAAACTATCTCAGCATTCCTTTAGTTTGAGTACTACCATTTATTCCGAGCCATTTGAATTAGTTCACACGGATTTGTGGAGTCCTTCTTCTATCACGTCACGTGTTGGGTTTTGCTATTTTGCTCTGTTTATCGATCATGCTACTCGGTTTGCCTGGGTATACTTTCATCGTCAGAAATTGGATCTTCTCGGGGTTGCTAAAGAATTTATTCAGATGATTCATACTCAGTTTGGAAAGACAGTGAAGGTAATCCGATCTGATCCTGGTGGGGAATTCTCTTCTGGTCCATTACAGGCAGTCTTTAAGGCACACGGGATTCTGCCTCAGCAATCGTGTCCCGGGGTCTCACAGCAAAATGGGCTGGTAGAACGGAAGCATCGGCATGTTTTGGAACTAACGAGGGCACTTCTTTTTCAGTCTAGTATCCCCACTACCTTCTGAGCCGAAGCGGTTCACATAGTTGTCTATCTGATTAATCGTCAGCTCACTCCTGTACTTGGTCACAGAAGTCCTTTTGAGGTTTTGTATCTGCGTAAGCCGGACTACGCGTGGCTTTGAGTGTTCGGGTGTATTTGCTATGTTCTTCTTCCTAAACGAGAGCGACACAAACTGGCACCAAAGGCAGTAAAGTGTGTGTTTGTCGGCTACAACGACAAGCACAAGGGTTATGTTTTTTATGACGTTGTTAATCGACGTATCCGGATCTCTTGTCATGTTGCCTTCTTGGAGCACCTGTCTTATTATGCTGAAAAGAATTCTGCGTCCAAAAGGGAAGTGGACTTTCTTCAACCCCAGCTTCTCTTTACTGCTCCTTCCGATCATTTTCCTCCCCATGATAATGATGATGATCCTTCCCAGGCCGCGTCTATTTCCATGGACATGCTGACAAATGAGGCCTCTACTAGCTCCTCGGATTACTCGGATAGCTCGACTCTGTCTCCCTCCTCGCCAGCTACCTCGACAACGGCCAGCTCCTCCAGTTCGGACTCCGCGTCCTCACGGTCCTCACACAATTCCCCACCACTTGAACCTGCCTCCCCGCCAGCTCCGCGTCGTTCTTTGAGGGCCAATAAAGGTCAGCGCCCTCCTTATTAATTAGACTTTGCAGCTTTCTCTACAGCTCCCATCTCAGTTCCGGCTACGTACAAGCAGGCGCACGGGGATAAGAACTGGGATGATGCTATGGATGTCGAGACGCGTGCTCTAGAAGACTCTCATACATGGGATATTGTTGATCGTCGTCCGGAAATGTCTGTCATTGGTTCGAAATGGGTGTATACCATCAAAACACATTCGAATGAGTCTATTGAGCGATATAGGGCTCGGGTTGTAGCTCAGGGATTCAAGTAGGAGTTTGGTATTGATTATGAGGAAACTTTTGCCCCGGTGGCAAAAATGCAGACCATTCGTACCTTGCTCGCCGTCGCGGCCATGAAGGGGTGGAGTTTGAAGCAACTGGACGTGAAAAATGCATTTCTGCACGGTGATTTAAAAGAGACGATTTATATGGAGTGTCCTCCTAGTTACTCAAAGGGGGATAAATCTAAGGTGCGTTTGCTCCGTCGGTCTCTCTACAGCTTGAAGCAAGCTCCCCGTGCTTGGTTTGAGAAATTCCAAGGCACTATTCTCCAGGCTGGTTTTACTCAGAGTGATAATGTCCTGTCCCTGTTCCTCCGTCGCCCGTCTCAAGGGTTGACAATTCTCCTTATATATGTTGACGACATGGTCATTAGTGGTGATGATATTCAGCGAATTCAATTTCTAACTCAAACTCTTCGGGACGCTTTCCATATGAAGGAACTAGGTGATCTATCGTATTTTTTGGGGCTAGAAGTTCATCGGTCACCTGCGGGTTTATTCGTTGGTCAAAAGAAATATATTATTGATCTCCTTGAGACCGCGAACATGGATTCCTGCATACCGTGTGCTACGCCAATGGAACCACATTTGAAGCTACGACAGGATGATGGGGATCTTTTACCTGACGGATCCTTCTATCGCAGTGTCGTTGGGAGTTTAATATATTTGACTCATACTCGCCCAGACATTTCTTATGTTGTTCAAGTGATGAGCCAGTTTATGGCGGCTCCTTGATCTTCTCACCTTGTTGTCGTCATGAGGATTCTACGGTATCTCTGTGGTACTCAGGAGGTTGGATTGTTTTTTTCCCGCCGAGGGTGATTCTAGGCTGGAGGCCTATGCTGATGCTGACTATGCCGGATGTTTGGAGACTCGTCGCTCTACTTTCGGATGGTGTGTGAAGATTGGATCTTCATTCATTTCGTGGCGCTGTAAGAAGCAAGACCGGGTAGCCAAATCTTCTACTGAGGCTGAGTACAGATCGATGTCCGAAGTTACTTCAGAACTGGTATGGATCCATCACTTGCTAGCTAATTTTGGTGTCATTTGTTCGTCTCCTATGCGTCTCTATGCTGACAATACTAGTGCCGTTCGGATTACCACCAATCCAGTCTTACATGATCGTAAGAAGCATATAGAAGTTCATGTCCACTACATTTGTCAGCTGGTTACAGAGGGTGAGCTTGCCTTGTCCTACATTACTTCCTAAGATCAAACTGCGGATCTCTTGACCAAAGCTGTTGCTACTTCTCGTCACTGGTTTCTAGCACACAAATTGATGTTGCGTCAACTAGGGGTGGGCACGTGGGTGGTTAATCCGCGGATTGATATCGATCCACCCGCAAATAACCCGACCCGCATGCAATGGGTGATTGATGTGGGTGGATTGCGGATTG